GTGGTCGCGTCAAGGTAGGGAGAGCTTGCGCTATGCTCTTATCCGAATTTGCTGCTAATCACAGCTTGTGGTGTTAGATAAGTAACAGGCCTCCCTGCCGCCTACAGCAACCTTCGAGTGGGACGCCCCACGGGCGGAGTCTTGTCCGGCAACTCTCCTCGACAACACCGGCCACAAGACATATGTACAATAAATCATGATTCGTACGCACCACACAATGATACTCGAGAAGCAAAGTCCAGGCCCTTCCCCGCAACTGCGCGAGTCGCCAAGTGAAGCTGTCGCAAATGAGGCTCACGACACGGCTGTTCCCTTCATTCAGCACACCTTACCCAGGACCCTAGCCATGTCCATCATCGCCATCCTCCTCGCCAAGGGAACTCGGTCACTTTCTCGGGTTGGGCTGAAGCAGAATCTGTCGTATTCGGCAGTCCCATCAATGAGCTGGCAGTCAAGAAAACCAACACACGACAGCCGAGTCCTTCTAGGCCCGATTTCCATCCAGCTCAGCCGGCGGTATAGGCGTTTGTTGTTGGCTGCTCCACCTATCTCCATCGACAAAGCCATGGAGATTTCGACCAGCCTGAGGGGCTAATGCATGGCGAAGAGAGTGCCCACTCATTGGACACAAGCATTCCATCTGCCCCAGTTCTTCATCATTTGCCCAACGACGTCCACCTTCTCTTCCGTCAGGTCCCTCAGAACGCACCCAGTTTGGTGTGCGGCACCTTCGGCTTTCAACATCACGACATACCGGATTTCGCATCCGCCCGGCACGCAAGATGGGACCTCAACGGAAGCAAGAGGCTTCACAGAAGCTGAAGCGGCTCAAAGAGTTCTTCCGATCCGGAGCGAGACGTCAACAGCCTCAAACTCCTAGACGTTCCGAAGACGACAAGAACCCGCCATCCCCGGCACGGACCCTGTCTTTTACCAGCTTCCTCGAAAAGGTGGAGGAGGAGAGGAAACAGCGTCTTCAGGCTGGAACGGATATTTACCAAGCCATCAAGCAAAACAACACATTCAAGGCCATTGAACTATATCAGAATCATGCCGCGCTTAACCCTAAGGACAATAGAGGGCGAACTCCTCTTCATGCCGCTGCCGAGCTGGGCCGAGACGAAATCCTGCGCTTTCTCCTTGATCAGAAAGGTCTGAACCTCGATGCCACCGACATCCAGGGCTATACTGCTCTCCACCTTGCAACTCTCAATCATCACCCCAACTGCGTTTTTTACCTCTTGGAGAGGGGCGCAAATGCCCAACTTGTCGATGGAAACGGCCACTTGCCATCGTTCTACGCATCGGCTGAAACAAAAAGGAACTTTGACAACCCCCCAATCGTTCACGGTGGCGATGCCGCCGTCAACCAGTGGAAAGACAGGGTTGGGTGGAATATAGGGCCGATACCGCCTGAAGGCCCTCGAAAGGAGGTATGTCATTACTTCCAAGGCAGCCTCTGGGTGCCCGACATTTCCACAAGGTGGCAAGTTCTTCCTGTCTGGGATTTGGTGTATGATCAAGAGCGCAATGGGGATATTACACGGTTCAACATCCTCAAGCAAAGAACAGAGGCCAAAAGGAAATGGATACATCTCCCAATTGCCAGCAGAGACCTAGTTCTTGACCTCACAAAGAGGATATACGCTGCTTCAGGACGGGACCTAAGAGCATATCAGAAGATGGAAAAGCTTGTCAGCGACATGTTTAGACAGGTTGACGTGACAGGACCAGAGGGAAGGGTGCACTTCAAGGTATGTATGTCCCTGTTCATCCTTGTGCAGAAGGTCTCATATTCGGGCAGCTGACGCTGCGAAGTTCAAGAGTTTGAAGCACGGTCATCAAGCCGATCCTGGCGACGAAGAGTGTATATCAGACAGCATATACGCCATGGTAGTATGTCTTCTATCCCATATGTATCTTTACGTGCACAGCTGCTGATTATACTGCTATCGTAGCTTCCTGTGGTCGACGTTGATAAGAAAGATTATGTTTCAATGGCACGTGTAGCTCAGGAACAAGCTACAAAGAATTCCAGGCCCCTACAAGAAATCAAGTTGCACCTCGATAAACGAGCCAAGGATCACTTTAGTCATATGCTTAAGGCAGTCAGTTTTATGGACCAACCGCTACCTCGCGGCCTAGATCAATCATATCACGCCGATTTAGACAACGAAAAGCTGGACTTCCTCAACAACGACCAGGTCATGGTGCGATACATTAGGTACATGAAGGCCAGATGTTCGCGGGTGCTCGGGGAAATGGGGTATCCAACTGGGCACGGCTCGTCGGACACTGAACAAATGACATTTTCCCATACGCACTATGAAGAGACTGAGTCTGCACCTCAACTCGACCAGCACCAGGAACCAACGAACACCGAAGCAGGATCATCGGATGATGTCAGAGCTCCGGTACAGGACGACACAGCTAGCCATATTCCCAGGGGACAAGGGCCGCAGCCGGTGGGACAGACATCTTTTGAAGCCCAGCGACCTCCAAATAGTCCGCGAAGGACATACACTGGTGCTTCAACAACGTCGCAGGCGCAACACCGATTTTCCATCCAACGTTCAGATACAGAAACAAGCATGCCACCGGATGAAGCGATGAAGGCTTTTGAGGCTCTGCTCAACGAGTCGAGCAACCAGGAGAAGTTGGCGCAAGTTGGGAATACGGTCAGGTTACCCGGAGCAGGCGCTGCTCTCACACCCCTCAAGTCTTCCGGCCAAACCGAACACCGGGCAGGCCCAGCAACCCCAATGCCTGTGACCCCTGGTACCCCTGGTACCCTTGTGAAGGAACTTACGGGCGTCGGGGACAAAGGTAGCGCGAGCATTAGTGATGCAGGACCTGTGATCATGCCTGAACCTATCTCCTTACATGAGTCGGATGACTTCTTGACTGTTCCGTATTTCTGGCTTTTCAAGATCGACGCAGGTAAGATTCATCTGAGCTGACATTCATGTTTTGTGCCTTCACTAACCATGGGCATGGTATCTTAAGACACGATAGTCACTCTATATCCGGAAAGATGGGACAAGGGCAACGAACAACAGCTGTATCTGCATATTCTGGAGAGCATCAGTGACGACCGGCAGATTCACAAAAGTACCGAGAATGGCGGCATGGACCTGGACATAGATCTTGTATCGAAGGCTATTCTCAAGGCCTGCATGTCGTTTGAGGCAAAGGCGCTTGTTCCGTGTATCAACCCGGATGCTATCTTCAACGATCCCGAATGTGGGCCACTCAGGAGGGTGGTGCTTCCATACACAGAGGCCTTTTCCGCCTCGATCGCTCAGCTCGTAAGTTTGCTTCTCGTTATGCATCTTCTTCTTTACTCCTTGTCATCTCCATGCACGTAGTGAGCCATGATTCTGACTTGCTATGTAATCACAACACAGTACTTCCAGGTTACACAACGATTCGATAAGCTAAAGAGGGGAATGGGTTCTATCAGCAAGGACCCAAACAAGTTCTACCAAGACACACAGAAAGAAACGGCCATCCTCATTGACATCGATGACACCATTGGTGAAATTGGGATGATCAAACGAGTCTTGTCAAACCAGGTCAAAGTCTTTGATCGCTTCCAAAGTGAGGTTCGAGGCAAGAACCCTAACAAGGTCGCCAAACCACACGAGGGAGAGATCCTGGCACGGTTTGATATGCTCGAGTCTGAAGCCGAACGTGTTCGGTCAATGGTACGTTTTGGTCCGGATCACTGGAATTGAGCAAAAGCTAAGCATGCCGGACATTACAGGTGACCACGTTGCTGAACTTGCGTCAACGAGAAGCAACTCTCGAGGATGCTCTATCAATGGGTGAGCAGTCGACAATGCTCTTCGTCTTCACTGCAGTGACCGTTTTGTTTGCAAGTCTCACCCCATTGCAGTTCATGCTTTATATGGTCCAAAAAGAACCGGCTAACACAAACAAAAAGGCCCCTCTGTCCTTTGTTGTTGGACTATTAGCCTTGAGCATCGATGGACTTCCAGGACTATGGAACCGCTCACCGCTCGCCGAAGTTTTTGGTAAGTACAGCTTGCGATCATTACCGTGGCTTTTGGATCTCAGGTCTAGTTTTCGACTATCAACCACAACATTAGAGACTGACTGTCCGAAATAGGCCTTTCTATCTTGGCGACTGGCGGTCTTTGCGCGGCCTTGTGGTTCATCTTCAACCGGTACTACCGGCGTGCCCACCATGGTCTCGACAACGACCTCGAATTCGACTTTGACCCAAGCCCATCGGATGAGGACGTCTACCAGATGAAGAGCACGTCATGGTGGAGAAACACGTGGTCAACTGGATTTGAAAGAGGGGGCCATGGCAAATCAACGGTGCAAGGAACCACGGCTGGCATGCGTCAAAGACCAAGAGCACAAGCCCCGAGACGAGACGCCACTTCACGTGGTGAAAATCAAGGACAAGAAAATGCTGGTGCGGATTCTAATTTGCATCTTGTCGGAAACTTGGGAGGCGGGAGGAGACGAGGGATGAGTGGAGGGATGAGTGTAGGGCCAAGTCTTTCCTCGCTGTCCATGGCATCGTCGAGTCGTGGATGGTCGTGGAATGGTAGACAAAAGCCGCGAGGGGCGTTGGGAGACGTAGAGTTCGGTGTCCTTCATGCTTAAGTGGCACTGGCATGGTGCGCCTTGCGCAGCTTTTGGACTGGCGCTTGGTGGAGAACAAGAACAAGGAGGCACGGGCGTCGCAAGACCATACTCTCACCAGGCAGCATCATCCAACATCACGTACACATTCCCTTCGGACGAAATTTGTACCGCTCATTCTCGGCTTCCCGGTGCGGGCCGGCCTAGCCTGCCCACCCCTTGGCCGACCGTCCTCCCCGCGCCAGTAATATGTCGCGCTGCGGGCCGTTCCTTGCCCAAGACGGCCACTGGACTTTTGCTTATTTTTCTTAGCGGTACTTACCTACAGGTACCTACCTACATAATGCGAAAACTAATGACTTATTAATAACGAAGAAGATGTTGGATTAGCTCAGGTGGGAGAGCGTTGTAGGCACGCAATGATGTGCGCTACGAAGGCCAGGAGTTCAACTCTCCTATCGGACAATTTCCCGGCGAAGTCCATACTTCGCGACGATGGAATGAGCCGGGAAAACATACTTTTTTGTCTTGGCGATCATGCTTTGTTTCGGGGCTTTCTTTTTTCAGTCATGTTTTTTTGGCAATGTTATTAACTGACCGGTGCCTTTCTGCGAGTTTGTGTCTCTTCTTCTTGTCCTTTTTCTCCTTCTTTTTTTTTTTTCCTTTTTTTTTTTTTTTTTTCTCTTTTTTTTTCCCACCCGTTACCTGTATCATATATCAAGGGGGTTACTGATAAAATACCTAGATCACCGATCAACAACAGTCACAAAACAAGGTACGAACGACCTTAACTTCAGGTGAACTCTGGTCTCTGTTGTATGGCAATCGCAGTTCACCGCATTGTGAATATCACTGCAAACCGGGCTGAGGTGTGGACCTCTATCCTTCCATCCTTCCTTCCTTCCTTCCATCTCCCCAAAGATCAGCACGACTGCAGCACCAGCAGAGCACCTTTCAACATTTATTACCTACCTTACTCTGCATTTCCAGCTCGAATAACCTCCAACAACCTCCCCATCATCACCCCCGCATTATTCACACTTCCCTTCCTCTCCATGTTCCCTATTACCACCGCCTCATCCTCCATCCCATCCATCCCCGCCGGCTCCAAGCGATACACCTCACTTTCAGCTAGCGGCAGATACTCAACCCCGTCCACACCCTCTTGCAACGATAACCAGCTTGCAAGTAACAAGCCCTCGACAAGCCAGAGGGATTTCTCGCCCGAGTCTGTGAAGGGCCCTTTCTCTTCCTTTGCCTGGGGCCTGCTTATGGGGGACAGAGGTATTGCTGTGCATGGAGTCGGCAGCTCATCTTGTCGTTGTCGCTGTTGGGTAAGCGCATCTTCTAACCGGTCGATCCAATCGAGGTAGGAGTCGAACCAGGAATTTGACGACTTGGATGCTGAAGTTGAAGGGTGGTGGTGGTAGAGGGACTGCAGGTGGGAGAGTTTGACGCGGTGGAGGCGGATTTTCGGTTGTGGTTGAGGTTGAGATTGAGATTGAGGTTGAGGTTGTGGTTGTGGTTGTGGTTCAGGGGAAGCAGCAGTGTAATACATGTGCGAGGAATTGTTGGCGTCTATGCCTGGGCGGATGTAGTATTGGATCCTTGTTGGCTTCGTGTTGCTTGTTAACTTGTTCTGCTGGCTGTGGGTTTGGGTATGACTTGATGTTCCTCCCAACGTTGTTGGCGTCGACACCGCTGACCTGACAGAAGGTGTACTCCTAGGAGGCGTAATACTCGCTCCACCCATCCCCGTCCCGGTCCCCAAGCCTAGTGGGCTTCGCAGCACTCCATCAATGCTTCCATTGTTCAAGCCGATTCCGGAAATGGACGGCGAGAAAGCGAATAATTGCTGGGGCTTGATGGGCGTAGCAGTGTCGAATGGATTGCTACACTGCTTTTCGGGCTCAGTTGGTTTTCGGAGGCTGATGTTGATAGAACCATCAGGCTCAAGCGAAAGAATAAGCCCGTAGTCTGTTTCAAAAGAAAGACTGGCCTTTGGGAATTGGGAAGTTGCGGCTAATGTGCAGAGGAGGAAGGCCAGGTCCGTGTTTGTGAGGGTGCGTGGTGGTCGTGACATCTTTGTTGTTGGTATTGTTGTTGTTGTGGACTTTTAGGATGAGGGATTGAATGATGATGGATGGGTGGATGAAGAGGGGACAGACACTGTGAGATTTTCAAAGAACGGTGCAGGTGGCCGAGAGTGGAAGGATATATGGGTGAGCCCATAGTTCTGGTGATATAGCTGAGCTCTGAGGTACAAAGTGGGAAGTGGATGGGCGGAGTGGAAAGGCGTAGGGTTGTGCCAGACTGGTCCAACGTCATCTGAATAAGAGTCGTAGGGCTCCGTGATACATGGCACAGCAGGTTTGAGAGTTGTCCCGATGAATACCAGCAAGTGGCATCCTCCTTCCCATGCTTACCTGTTACGAGCTGAATGTCGAGTACCTGCCTCTAGAGTTTCAGACTACGAACGTCCATCTTCTAGAACAGAAATCCAAAATAAGATCTCCACGTCCGAGAAAAAAACCAGATCCTCAAATGCACGATTGCGGGGCCACAGCTGATGTTACTGTGCAACAGCTCGAACGGCTGAAATCCGAAGTGCCGGAGGGTACCTTACCTGAGAAAAGGGGATTCGATTGGCTGTGGAGGGTCGGTGGAAATTCATGAAAGAGTGTTACCAGTTGGTACTGCCACCGACTGAGGGACTGTCATTGGTTTGGTTAGCCGCTGAACTTTGAATGTAGGTCAGCGATGAGAATAGAACAGAGCACCACTAGATGAGTCCATTGTAAGTGGTTTGGCTGGGTGTTTGATGGATGGTATGAGAGGTGTGGGAAATGACCCGTTCCGTGTGTCTATGCAAATAACCAAGTAGATGTGGAAGGTTGAGGTGATGAAGATGCCAATTTTGGGAAAATATGTAAACCAAAATCGCATGCTGATGGGTATCTCCGCCAAATAGAATGTGTACATGTAAGAATATTATGCATTACTGAATGTTCCTCATCCCTTCGTCAATGCCAAGTACGGGTCATTAGCCCTTCCTCAACCTCAAATCTCCGCGCTCTAAGAAAACCTCGGAGTACCACCCGAAAGCTCCACAGGTGCCACAGGTCGAGTGTTATTATCGAGCTCATAAACCCAACCCTGCCCCTGCCCCTGCACCTCAGCAGGCTTGTTGTTGTGGTACTCTCCGTATTGACTCGGCTGTTGTGTCGCGTGGGGATCGTATTGTTGCACCCCTACCGCCGCGGCATACTTATAGTTCCCGGAAGAGGGTAACTCCCCAACAGCCGGTTGGGGTTGGGAGTGACTTTCGAGTTCCCCAACTCCTTGAGCTAGAGGAAAGCCACTTGCATCTCCGTCTGACATGTCTCCGGTGCTGCCCTGGCCGGACTGAGTGTTGTTTGCCGTTCTTTTTCGTCGTCGCACGAGGAAGAAGGCCACGGCACCGATTAAGGCAAGGGCACCGACACCGCCGACTACCCCTCCGGCGATAGCGCCGGTGGGGGTCTTGGCAGTTGGTTCGCCCGCCTCGGAGCCCGGGGCGTTGGTACCCCCGGAACCAGAACCAGATCCACCCGCACCGGATGTACCATTTGCAGCACCACCATCTGTAGGTTCGCTGGCGCATGAGTCCTTGGCGTGGCTGATGGCGACCAAGTTGCTCTTGGCTGTAGGGTTGGCTTGCCACAAGGTGAAGGTGTCGGCCTCGTGATCGACCATGAGATAAGCCGAGGTAAAGAAAAAGCGGCCGAGGGTTGCGGGTTGAGTGCCCAGACGGTTAATGGGCAGTGCCATTTGGTTGGGTTCGGTGACGAATGAGCCATTGCGAGCAATCTCTTCGGGTGGCACGATAAGTTGGCTGTTGGGAATCCGGACACTCAGGCCGTTTGAGAGGGCTATGGTGAGGTCGCCGTCGTAGTATCTGGGATACCTGTGTTAGTTGTTGTAATTCACAAAAACGACATCGGTTACGTGATACTCACGGTGTAGCTGTGTTGTTGTAAACCTGTGCACCCCAGTAGAACCCGAACGAACTGCCCGCGGCGACCATCCCGGTGGCCTGTTCAAAGTTGTCAACGACATAGCCGGGAGCCTCCAAAAGCAAATGTCTTTGCGGTACAATGCAAACCGGAATAGCCGAGTTTCGCGGCATGATGCTCTCGTCATCTCCATTCCGATAGTTGAGTACCAGATCGGACACGGTGACCTTCATGCCCGTCCAACAGCCCGTCGACTCGCTATAGTCGAGCGGCTGCGTGTAATTGTTGCCAATGGTTTTCTCCTGGTCGTAGCCACCAAACACAATAGAACCATCCAGGGGTGAGCCACTGCCCCATTGGCGACCCCAGAAATAAGACCATACCTTTGACGGGATCTTGTTGCTCTGGCTCAGGGCGTTGAGGTAGGTCGAGTTAGCTCCCAGTCCTAGTGCATGGAGGATGGTGTAGCCACCGTCCCATCTCAGGCGGGGGATGCCGATCGGCATAGTAACGGAGGAGGTGTTTGATCCGCCAACCGAAAGTTTCTCGACGCCAGCCAGCGATGATGAAAGGAGCTTCTTGACGCCGAGCTCGGTGCCTGTGGTGGTGATCTCGTTGGTCGCCCCGCCGGCTGAGGCCAAATCATTGTACTTTGTGAAGGATTTTGAGTCCTCGTAGTGGTAGATGCCTCCCCTTCGCACAAAGCAGATCTCATCGTTAAATATGATACTCGGGTCGCAGAGCATCTGCTGATCGTAGATGTATGTGTTATTGAGATCCCTAGGAGCCAACATGTCAGTCTGCAGCCCGGTTTATCTGGTTTGTTGAGATAAACTTACGGCCACGCATTCACTAATATTGTTTGTTCAGGAGTGCCGATTGTCACGGCAATGCCTCTCATGAATGAATCGGGGACATTGGGATCAATCTGCTTGGTAGTGATGGGAAAAGACAGAGGCGAAGGACAGTCGGCCGCCAGGACACTTGCAGCCCCGAGGGCAAGCACGAGGCTTGAGGTCATGAACGGCATTGCTCTGTCAACAACAACAACATGAGGTCTAGGGGACATGAATGAAGGAGTACTACCCAAACCGAGCAAAAAGAAGAACGAGGGAGACGACACGATGCGGTGCACAGGTAGGACGCGGTCGGCTCATAAGGCAGTATCAAAGTTTGTTCGAATTCAGGACCATGGCGTTGGCGACGATCATGCTACCCAATCATACCATACATCGAATCCTTCGCTTAGCGCTTACTTCCTGGGCCGACGAGTTCGGAGGAGTGGTCCTCGTCCCCCTGTCCTCTCCCAATCATGGAGAGGTGGTGGCTGGTACTTGGTTTTGTTTGGACGCTAGACCTGCTGGGCAGCTAGCTATCAAGGGTAAAGTTAAAGGCATGGCATCATGAAATGGAAGGAATATGTTGCTCATGCTGGAGCCCGTAGGTGCTTTTGACAGCTGTATCGTTCGA